TTTCTATATCACACAAGCGTATGGTAGGAGGAGCTTCCCAATTTCCAAAGTTTGCATAGACTGCTTTGAGTCTGTGTAAATTAGGATGGCACAGGACTGTTAGAAATAAAACCTTTTGTAACGGCTTACTACAGTCATGATCACTGGATACTGACGGTATGCATCTCCTTTTCAAAATATCTCCTACTGTAAAAGTGACTTAAGGCCTATGCACTTTCTCTGTGTGCAGCAGGGATCATTGCCACCAAGAGAAATTCTTCAATTTCCCATTCAGAGTAGCAGTATGAAGATGCTGTGGCTCAAGTCAGCACCCTGCCTTGTGTCCCATGATCTTTCAAACATAATTGGCAGAAATATGCATTTAGTAGAAAACATGATACCAGTATTTATTTGTACGTGAGGATAAACATGACCTGGATAGCATTTTCCTGAGGGACTGCATTCTGGTTTAAACATATGTCACTGAAGAAACTGATTATCATATCTTCAGATGAAGAAAACTATGTCTATTTATGTATATATACAAACATAGATGAATACAGAGGAATAGGAGAAATACATATATTCATACAGAGAGAGAGAGAGATGAGGTCTAAATATATTAAGGATGATTCATTATACTCTTCAATGTAATAAGATTATTTTTTCTAGGGAAATGCTGTATTTCTTTAAAAATTGAAAATTATCCAGGTATTATTTTCTAGACATGTCTAATAGTTATACATACCTTAGAATGATCAGGAGGACTGTAAGGTCTCTGGTGAAAGGTTAAGTAATCCAAAATCTTCTAATTAGAGTGCCAAATGTTAACTACTTAAGTATGCCATCTTACAAAGATACTGCCAGGTTGCATTATCATTCCTTTCTAGAAAAATCCAAAAGTATATTAGCCCTCCGAACAGCAGTCTGGGAACCTGACAAGCTTTCTTGCTGTAGTAGACAATATTCGATAAACAAGAGCCAGAGCTCAAGGAAAGAGGATGAAGTAATAATGAAAAGATTAACAATTTGCCAAGTGAGGGCTAATGAATGACATTGTGCTAAGGATCAAGTCTGGCCATTTTTTACTAAAATAATGTCTTAGTTTGACATCTTCATGCGGGCATCACACCAGGAGCGAAAAATCACCTCAGGCACAGAGATAATCTGAAAATAACAGAGAGTATTTAAGCTGGTCCCAGCAGAAGAGCAGAGAAGTCCATGAATAGAGTCAGAAAAAACAAATGGGCATAAAGACAGGGCTGGGGCAAGATTCCATCATGAAAGGCGTGATTAAAGCAAAGTACTGCCAAGTCCATATTCCACAGAGGACTTAATGCATTTATGTTTTGGATGTACGTGTTATGGCAACAGATACTAGTTCCTAAATTGCACATCTTTGGTCTTGCATTGATTTGTATGCTCAGAGTACTTTTCTTATTCAAAATCTCAGAAGGCCTGCTGTTACATCATTCCACCATCATTTACGTAAACTAGGCAATACCAGCAAGATGCTTCTCTGGAGCATCCCACCACTTAGTCCTGTTTTCCTTAATGCTTTATTTACAATTGTTCACATTATTACTTCAGGGCTAGAAGAGATATTCAATACGTTACAGAATTATTGACTTGTCTTGTGTTGGCATTTCCTAGCTTATATTTGGTATTCTCACTCTTACCTTGAAAAAAATCATCAGTACCTCCCACTTCCCAAAATCCCAACCAAGCAAAGTGAGAAATAAACAAAACACCTCTCTGTGGTATAATACTATTCCTTTCTTTAGTAAGATTCTCTGAAATAGTGGAATTTACTCCACAACACAACAGTGTCTGCAGCACCAACAGGCTTTCAGATTAGAAAGTAACATGTAATTTAAAAGAATTTATGCATCCTTGAATGATTCTTCAGACTGGTCAACTCCACCACTGCCTAGCAAGCTATTTTTACTTCGTCTGATTTAACTTCTCCATTAGTAGAAACCTTAAAGCCCATATAAAGTATATATGGTCTCTTATTTCCTTGAGCTTTCAGTAAAATGTTTCCAATTCTACAAGGCATGAGGAATAAGATCTGCCAGAATAATTCTGTGGACTTTGTCTATACATATCAGGAGCTGATACAGTGTTTCTTATGGACATCATTCTGCAGTGTTTTGGATCTTTTTACACGTATATCCATGAGGAAAGAAAGTCTTTGCATAAATGAAGGTGCAATAACATTTGTGAGGGTTGAAGAAAATCTAGAAAAATTACATTACTTTTTAACTTTTCGGAACGTTAGTAGAGATATGCTATTTCTAAACAATTGGTTAAGAAGTCCAGTATTTAAAAAAAAAAGCAGAGGGAATTGTGTTCAATTAGGTATAAAACACTTCTCCAGTTCGTGTAGCAAATGCTCTGTGACAGGACACTGCTTTTGCTCTATGGAAGTGGATTGTCCTCTGAAGTGCATCTTTGAGACGACAGAATTCAAAGTAATGTTTCATTGCTGCTGAATGTACTGAGGCCTTTATGAGTTAGTTAATACTTTAAAAGCTCTTATGCATTATATTTTGAACAAAAAATATTTTTATTTTAAAATAACACATAAAATATCGTAAAAATATTATTGTAATAACCTACTGTATAAAAACCACTCCTTGCAGTAAGGGAAAAATCCAAACAAGTCTCCATGGAGACCAGATGGTCACCACCAAGCTTTCTAGAAAAAAACACGATAAAACAATGTATGTGGAAATGGTCTATAAAATTGAAGGACTGAGGCTACTCTCCCTATATACATATGTACATATGTTATCCACACCACCATTTGGCTTGCTTTGCATACACTGTTATTAAACAAGGACAATGCATGAAGTCTTTGCAGTATGCCTTAGTCTAGGTCATCTGGATTTATCTGTCTGTTTTCTCAGCACAGGTGCTGAGTTTTGGATTTGACTCTGATACCTCTAAGAAAGTGCTGGCTTGTGTACTAGATTCTGATATTTTCTGTTCTTTTGAATAAAAGACCCTACAAGGCAAGAGTGCTAGAACTACCAAAACAGTTGGGCAAAAAGAGCTGTCCAAGTACAGGACAAAAAATATGGAGAAAATTGTTACCTAGGATATGATATATCTGTTCAGCTACTCCAAAAGAGTATATAGCAGTTGCAGCTTCAGAAAAAGAAGCAATAACAGAAAGAAAACATCTGATTTTTTAATTTAAATTCTGAGCTAATCTTTTATACCTTTTTATGTTCTCATCTAGGTTCAGGATTATATTTCACCTCTTTCTTCTGGCAATTTTTTTCCTCATTTTCCTCATTCCTCATTTTTTCCTCATTCCTCATTTCCTCATTCCTCATTTCCTAATTTCCTCATTTCCTCATTTTTTCCTCATTAAACACGTAGAATGAAAATCTTACGAGCCTTCTTAAAACTGTTTGCATGGAAGTAATACAGCTACTGCTTAAAGTAATCTCTACCATAGTATAGCATCAAAAAAAAAAACCCAATTTTGAAATACCAATGCTATTAACAGCGTATATGAAGGTGAATGAATAAAAAAGTTAATTCCAAAAATTGACAAAATAATCACTTCTCAGGAAGATAATACATGATCCAGAGAGATGAAGAATGAGTCATACCATAATTTTATGGCTTCAGTTTTACAGTGTTCCTGATCAGTGGTGGTTTTTTGTTTTGGTTTCTTTTGTTATGTGAAGGACATACACATATAACACAAACTTATCTTTGAATTAAAGGGATAATCAAACTGTAGTTATTAAAATTGGTTGCTCATATTCAGCCATATCTCCTTGTGAAACACACATATATAATTTGTTTTTTAAGTTTTTGGTTTAATTATAACATAATATAATTAAATTAAAATCAGTTAATCCCTGAGATATGGACATTCACATTGAAAAAATTAATATAACAAAAAAGCACCAGCTGAAAAATTATCTCTGAAGTTTCTTCTGTGACCAGGTTCAAAGGGATTATTCTGGGGGAAATTAAAATTTTAATTATGCCTAAAACCAGAGAACTCAATGTTAACTAAAGGTACTGATCTAAGCAGAATACACATTAGCTACAGAGTCGCTTCGGTAATGCTGAAAAACTATCCCACTCTAAATTTTCAAATCCTATTCTGTTTCAGTTTGAGACTTCTCTGGACTGCATTTCACTGAATTGCAATGAAGTCTTTTGTAGCCTGGGGTTCTGTAGTTCTTTTGCAATCAAGATTTCCCAGGAGTGCTGTAATCTGAAGTAAAGATGAGAACTAGTGTTTTTTCAGTTTAGAAAAAACACATCAAAAACTGAAGCTTTGCTGTATTCCTGAATTCAGATGGAATTTACTTAATAGTTTGAGAGAAGAAAAAAACTGGAAAAAGAATCACAAAACTATTGAATGGGAATGATGTTTTATGCACACCACAGTAACATATAGCCTGGCTTTTTTGGGCACTTAGGAGATGTGGGTTCAAATCCTTTTAGAGGAGATAATACTACAGAAGATCTGCAAGCACATACAAAATTAATTATTGACACAGCCTAGCCCTGAAGAATAGTTGAGAATGTGAATAATTTAGAAAGTACATCTGAAAGCATGCATTATTTGAGAGCAGAGCTGAGAGCATGCTAACAGGGACAGCATGGTGACTTGGAGGTTTGCTGGACCACCACCACTCAGTTGCTGTAAAAGGACTATACCAGGCATTTGCAAGTTATGAGGAATGACTTGGGTAGAAAGAAGCCTGATGTGCTATGCAAGGGAGGTTAGCCTTGAAATGTTAAAGTACAAGTTACCCAAGTGAACCTGCAAGACTGTTTACTTTCGTAGTGTGGAAAATCCACCAGTTCTTGAGCTATACCAGTGTTGAAGAAGAGGTATACATGTATTTTCTGACAGTGTATCTGGTGAATCAGTTTAATATATATAACCCAGACACAGAATAGAAAAACCCTAGCTATTTTATAGAAATTCTATGTTGGGTTTTTAACATATTATTCTATCTCAGTATGCTTTTATTTTACAGGAGACTATGTAGTCATGTCTGTTTACTTTAACCTGAGCAGGAGAATGGGTTATTTCACTATTCAGACCTACATTCCCTGCACACTGATTGTTGTGTTGTCCTGGGTCTCTTTCTGGATTAATAAGGATGCAGTTCCAGCCAGAACATCACTGGGTGAGTTGTTTTTATTTCCTGCTTTTATTCAAGCATTATGATGTTTAATTGACACCTCTGCAGATCACCAGTTTGTAAGAGGAGAGAAAATTCCACATGAGCTCTCCTCAATTAGAGGGATATAGTCATTTCCAATGAATAACACAGCCTCAACCATATTTGCATCTCTTCCTTTTTACCATGTCAGATCTGCACTCTGAGTATTGTAGATTACCTACAATAAAAACTTTTGCATCTTTTCTGATGACAGCAGTGGTTTTTATAAATGTCAAGAGGATGGGGCACCTTGCTGAATTAGAGGCAGAGACGCATTAGTTTTATTTCCTCTACTTCCATATCACGGTGACTAGCAGTACAAATGAAATAAATACTGAGAAGGAATCAATCTTTCTGGCTGTCTGTGTGATGTAGTGGTAAAAAGGGGAGAATGTAGTACCCTGACTTCTACTCTAGGGACCAACAATCAAATGTAGCCTTCAGGCCACAAAATCAACTGAATTTGGTGACATCTAAAATCCTATACATGAAAATGTGACATGCAATTAATCAGAATTAGCAATTTCTACACATTTAGCAACTGTTCCACAAATAAACTAAAATAGAGACCAAATTAACCTTGCTTGTGCAAAGCAGCTATAGCTGCAAGAATTATCAAAGTAGAAATGTTCAGCTAGAGAAAGTTAAACACATTTTCTACTTCTGCATTAAATCCACACAAATGAGAATAATTTTAGTTTTTCCTTCTGCGTTTTCATTTCCTCACAGAACTAAAGCGCAGAGCACTGGAGTGCAAAATGAGGGACAACATTTTCATTCCAGAACTCCCTTGAAAGAAACATAGGAATAAAGGAACAGTGGCTCCCATGACAGAAACTATTAAGTGTTTTATTGCCTTTTTCACATCCTCTCTAAAAAGATATTATAAAATCTGCTTTAAAGAAGTATAAAATTAGTAAAGGCATTCAGCTGTTATTTTAAATTTTACTTAGATATACAAAACAGACTGGTCCCTCTGTTAAGAATTAGTCTATTTGTACCACTGAGGAGGTAAAAACATTGGTATGAAATTTGCCATATAAAATGTGATGGATTTTAACTGTTCTGATGCATTTTTAATGTTCTTCACATCATAGTACAGGCAATAATGTTCTGAAAGGAGAAGGGATGGTAAGGCAAGACACAGTACTTCTCAGTTATAGACTACAGTCACTTATGAAGGCCAGAAGAGATACTGCTTTCGCACAGAGAGAAACCTGACCTTGCAGTGTAACAATTGTAAGGAGCCCTGAGAGACTCTCCCTTCCAGCTTTATATGCAAGAAATCATTTAAATAATGAGCAGCAGATAATTTGTGTGGGGCTAGCAACCTTTGCATATAACTAGAATGCATTTAGGCAAGAGAAAAGAAAGGGCTTTATTTCTTTATGTAGCACACATACAAATCTACACACATTTTGTCCTGATGTTCCTGCTGGATTACATGCTTTCTTAAGAATTTTCATGAATTTCTATCTCATATAATAGCTGCAAGTGTGTCTCTTACCGACACTGGTGTCATTCATTACCCTGCAACTACAAATAAGCAAAACTTATCCCAACAGCACAAAAAGTTTGAGACTGGTCTTGAGGTTACTTTGAAGAATGGAGTAACGCAATTTTTGTTCCCCACCATGATTTTCTCACTCTGACACAAGTTCTCTTCTCTCTGGCTCTGTTCAAGAGTTTAGGCACACAAACCTTAAAATTAAATTTCCCAATTAAAAATAAATAAAGGCCCTCTAGAAGTAAACTACAAAACTAAAAAACTAAATCAAATTTCTTAGAATCAGAATACATCTAACCAAAGTATTCTGCAGAGCAGCACTTGCAGTGACCATGCAAAAATGTTTCATACCTCATGTTAATCCTCAAAGCTCTCACTGAATCCACATTTTACCACTGGGATGTGCTGTTTAATATCTTTGCTATATGTTTGAATTCCAGGTATACTTCAAAACCAGTCAGAGAGAGATAACTGCAAAAGCAGTTTGTTACTTGAAGTAATAATATCTCTGTTGCTTTCTGTCTATCTACCAGGTATTACAACTGTCCTGACAATGACCACCCTAAGTACAATTGCTCGTAAATCTCTTCCCAAAGTCTCCTATGTGACAGCAATGGATCTTTTTGTGTCAGTCTGCTTCATTTTTGTTTTCTCTGCACTGGTGGAATATGGGACTTTGCACTACTTTGTCAGCAACAGAAAGCCAAGCAAGGATAAAGACAAAAAGAAGAAAAATCCGGTATGTATCTTTTTACCAGCAAGGTCTAAAATTCAGTTAGGTTTTCTGAGAGAGCATTTAAATTCCTCTTTATGCTCGTACTTCCTTTTCAGACTTTGCTATTACATATATACTCTTGCTTTGTATTAATAGGAATGCAAACACTCACCTTGAGAATGAAAAGCTCATATATTATGGCTGTCTGGATGCCAGAGAAACTAATTTCCTAGAATAAGGATCCTTTTAACCAAAGTGTTCTGCAAATCACAACTATCACCAAAACCATTATTTATGTTATAGATAGAGCTCTTGCTGTGATCTTTATGGAAGAACTGTCAGTTTCTCTGTCTTAGCTTTAGCAATATTCTCTGCCATTAACTTATGTCTGTATTATTGACATGACTGTTTTTCTTATTATCAGGACTACAGTTAAACTTTTATATTCAAACTATGGAGTATGCTTTTTCTAATTTCCCCTTAAGCATCTGTTTCCTTTTCATTGTTTCCTTATCTACTTTTTCTTGTATTTCTTACCTCCTTTATCTACTTCTCTCCCTTAGAAAGTGATTTGGCTAGCAGTTAACAATGTTACTTATGGATGCATGCTACACAATAATAAAAAAATGTATATAATAGCCACAATAACAAAATCCTGGAAATACCCTCAGTAGGTGTTTGGGGTTTTGCCCAGACAGGAAAAAAATTGTTTTCGTTTCTCCTTGCCTTTTGCTACTGAGCTGAAAAGTCTGTTGTCTAGAATATCTGAGATGAAAAGAATTAGTGTAAAATCCTAGAGGGAAAAGTAGCCTAATCCCCTACAGAACCCACAAATATACCTGTGAGAAATGTGAAGAACAAGTGTTTTACATTAATAGATAGTATTTTCAAATCCATTTCAGGCATCTAGGAAACAATGAAGTCACTTGGATTTGCTCTGCTAAAATTTTCAAGGACTTTTGAAGATATTCTCTTTTAGTTAGAACATACAGAACAAAAAGAATATAGAAAAAATAGTAATTACAGAACCTTTTGTTACACATTATTGCTATAACTTCAACTTCAAAAGCTGTTGAGTAGACTCTAAAAAAAAAAAAAAAAAAAAAAGAGAGTAAAAGAGTACTCTGTAGTGGATAAACAGCCAGAAAAACTTCTCTAAGACTATAGAGGAAGAATTCTCACCTAACTTTAGGTGTCCTAAAGCTGGATTTGATCATAGGCCTCTCTTGGTCAAAAGAAAGAAAGAGGCACTTCCAGAGGGTAATGCGTTCTGGCTTGTCTTAGGCTGAAATAAAAGGCTGTCTGTGTGCTTTTCACAGGTAGTTGAAGGAGTAAATATTAACTGTCTCAGATTTACTTGTCTCACTTAAAGATGTCCATATAAGGGCAGATTACTTGTTCTTTACATTACTAATCTGTGAGCATTTGGGGACAAACAGAACTATAAATGATTGCCTGGACCCTAATCGCAGAGTCTAAAAAACTTAAAAGTTCAGGACCCAGTCTGCAGGTAAAAAGAAGTTTTTCTAAAACCTGTTTTTATAAACTGTGTCTCTGTCAAAACATTTCAACATAAAAGATTGGAATCCCCTGGGAATATAAAAATATCTAAATGGCGTTTGATGTCTTATGTCTTTGGCCCAGATGTAGTTACAAGACAGTGACAAGTCAAAAATGTGGGGGTTTTATATTACAGATACTTGTTTAAATTGCTATTATCCCAACCTTTCTATAAATTTAGTTCTTTTTGACTTACTATGTTTTAGAAACATATTTTTAATTTACATTATTTTTGTCTCTTTCTTTCTTTCCTTTCTTTCTTTAATTTAAAACAAAACCCTCTGATTCTCTTTTCTGTCTACAAAATGAAAGCTTCTTCGGATGTTTTCCTTCAAGGTATAATGTTTTTTGGAATGGAAATTCACTGCATGCCACTGCTGAATTTAACTATTAGAGCTTATATGAGAGTGGTGTTTTGTTGGGTTTTTTTTTTTTTTTAATGAGACATCTAAGCATTCTACTCAAGGTAACTTCCTAATTAAGTAGAATGGTTACATATTTCTAAACAATTTGTAGAGTTGATTCAGCAGCCCAAATACTGATTCACTATAGTTCTGAACTTACCTAAGTTCAAGAGTGACCAACATTATTGGATCGCATGAATTAAGAAAGTTTAATGTTAAAACATTTCTGCTCCTCTCTTTCTTAATTTGCCATGGGATCCAATAGCACAAGCTACACTAGAAACCTGCAATACACCCTTTTAGAACTCAACTCTGACCCCACCTTTTTAACCTTTGTGATTTCACTCCAAATTATAAAACCAAATCTGTTCTGATGTTGACCTGAACAAAATTCAATGGTCATCAATTACTCGAATGCTGTTCTTTATGCAAAAAAGTCAGAGTTTTGAAAGGGTTTAAGATGCATATATATTTTTAATGCTGTCAGTGGATCAACACAATTAGCAAATTAGCAAATATATCTAGCTATGTTCCACATCTAAACCTTATCTTCATTCAGAAATGCAGAGATTTTGTCAAAAAAAAACCCACAAAAAAAATCCAAGGGAAAAAAGAAACCACATAAAAGCCAAGAAATTTACATACTTATGGAATGGAATTGTTATTTTACCCCAATAACTATCAGCAGG